TGTACGTAATACAGACAGCAGCAAACTTAAAAACCCAAACCATCAGGCATTCTAAGCTAAAGCATACTGGCACAGCAGGCATGGAAATTTTGTTTTCTATTCATTTATATCTTACCTATGATGACTTTATGCATGGAAGCAGACACTTCACAGATCACTACTGACAAGGACAATGCAACTTTTCTTTAACTCGAGTGCCTGACATTTTATATTTGTTGCAGGCCACTTTTATAGATCCCTCAAGCACATTTTTTAAATATCCGCAGCTTCAAATTAAAGTACATTCAAAACAACACCTGCTAAAAAAAAAACAAAAAAACATGAAAGCTTGACTGAAGTAATGGTGGATAGTTGAACGGTTACTAAGCGGTTATTTGAGGAGAAAATGAAGCGGATGTTTTGGCAAGATGTGGAGAGCATCTGGATTTTGATTGGCCATGACATTTTTCGTCTTTGCTGCTAGTAAAGTTCCCACTGCGAGCCAAAACAGCTGTTTAGATTTTGTCATAATTACTCACCAGGGCCCCCTAGTGGCTGGAGCCCCCGGGCACTCGCCCATAAAACACATAGGATTATCCAGGCCTGTTCGAGGGTGAAAAAGCTGTATAATGGGGGGCTGTGGCAGCACCCCTGTGGAGTTCCCATGCTTAGAGTCAGTGTGGATGAGTACATGTTTCCAGTTCTCACTGTCTGTTGGTTAGAAAGTCCAATACCACAGCTGTTGGTTAGAAAGTCCAATACCACAGCTTTAACTCAACTGTGCCAAATGCAGTTATTACACGAAATAGTGATGAATGTGTTGACTGTAGTTTTACGATTGTTTCGAGAAGATTTTGGCCACAAATGTATTTTTTTTTAATTCATTCATGGTGAAGGGGTACATGCGGGGTGTTGTAAGTCAAAATAATTCCCAAAGAAAGCTTTTTCTTCAGATTTTCCACTATTTTACCATCATCAGCATTACATATAAAACTCAGAAGACTCGTGTAGGTTCACTGGTGGTTTGGATAGTAAATAAAATGTCTATATTTGTGTTGTAGGCATTGTGACCCCTGGTTCCCATCACCACCACTGTAAAGAAATCTGAATCTCTACAATGAAACATTTCACACCAAACCACTCTGAATGACTCTGTTTACATCTCAGCTGAATTATTAAGAGATCACAGCAACCGCTTGGTGTGGTAATGACGTTTTGCTGTTTGAAAGCCTCTGTGCTTGCAGGATTAATTGCTGTAAGCGCTTTAATGTTCAAATTTGAGTGGGGCCACTCTGTCCTGCCTTATAACTTAATCACAAGGCTCTGGAGATTAGCCTGTTAGGCCTTAATGCCGTATCGTATAGCCTAATCACAGGGCTTCATGATCAGCTTAAGCCTATGATTTCATTATTATACAGATCAGCAGACTCATTCACAATCACAACCTCTTAATCCAGTTTAAACAGCTTTGAAGTGCTGTCCTTCTACACTGCACTGTAACTGAAGATGGCTTTTCACAGGTAAAGTGCTGGAAATTCGATGATGTTAAATACTGGGTAAAATAACAGCAGCGAATGTGAAATAACTGTATTTCACCTGATAAATATCTTTACTGGCATACCTGGGAAACTGTTCAGCACGGTTAGAACTAACCCTTTTAGTCTGGGTCATGAGTATGAACAAAACTCAAATATGAGGAAAAACACCTCTACGATAATGCTGATTCTGTTAGCGCACCTATGGGACTCTAGTAGTGTGTTAGCGAAAAGCTAATGGTGCTTTGCATTAACATTTTTGGCTGTTCTAACTTAATCACAGAAATTTGAAGCTTCAACATTTGTAGGAAAAGTTGGTTCAGGAAAAGTTTTCTACTGACTACTTGGCTGCTTGATCTTTATTGTACAGAACTTTCTACAGTCTTCTCAATGGCTGGTGCATGATTCCTCTGATTGTATCCATCCATCTTGTACCTGGTCGTTCTCTTCCTCTTTTAATTTTAGCCCTCTACTGCACGCATTATGAGAGCAATTTAAAAATATACATACTCAACTCACTTTTTTGCATAAAACGGTCCTTGATTTTTTGACCTGAAATTCAAAAACATAAAAAAAAAAATATATATGTGTAGGTGTCCTTTTGGAGTCTGTTGCCTTGAGGCAACATTTTGCATCAGTGGGAAGAAATGAAATAGAGCAGTGTTCCCTGAAGTGGTGAGACCTGGCTTGTGACCTGGCTAAATCCATTCCACTGTCGCACAATGTTGCTTCTAGGCAACAAACATAATTCTGCAAATTCTTATAAAAAATACTGAATACTGAATGTTAAAAAAGAGGTTTAAAAAGATGTGCCGACTAAGAGAGAGTGTGACCAAGTACATGCTTTTATTGACTTACTCAAACTCCTCCCTTTATTGTTAACCCTATCCTTGTCTTTAAATATGTATAATGTTATTGTAAAATGAGGAAAATGTGTATGTTGCCCTGAGGCAACAGCGGACAATAGAAGGTTAACTCTTCCAAGAATAATGGTCTTTTTCAATGAACTCGTTCTTCCCAGAATGTGTCCAAAGTAAGAGCTTCAGTCTGGATATCTGGGCTTTTGAGTGAGAGGTGGGATTTGATTTGGTCGAGGATCCATGTGTTTGTTTTCTTTACCCTCCGAGGTTCTCTTAAAAGTCTTCGTCAACACCAGCTTTCAGAGGCACCTGTATTTTTGTCACACTTGTTTGTTGTCCAGCTTTCACATCCATAAAGAACCACAGAGAAGACCACAACCTGGACAATTCTGATCTTTGTAGAGACAAATCTTTGCATTTAAAGATCTTTTCAACCTCCTTCATGTTTGTTCTTTATTGTTCAGTGTAACCATCTGTTTCTCTGTGCATATGACAATAAACTCTGGGTTCTAACACACAGAGCTGGATCGAAGGCCTCCACTGGCTCCAGTTAAGACCATTTAAGACATAGACGACTACACCAGGACCCTCACTGAATCCACACAGTGGTGAACATGCAGCATAAAGCCACTGGATAATGGGAATAACAAACAAAGGGAGGAAGAAAGAGAGAGAGAGAGATAGAAAGAAAGAGAGGGAGACAGAAAACAAAATAAAGAGAAGAAAGGAAGAGAGAGAAAAAGAAGAGAGGAAGCCACACAAATTCCATCCTGGGTTAGCACAGAGCAAGCCGCCTAGACAAAAATAACTCGCTTTTCCTGCTTCTTCTGTGAGCGGACCCTTAGGGGGAAAGGCCCCACACAATCGTCAGGCTGGGTTACAGAGTGATCGGCACACTAAATATCATTTGAGTCATTTACTGGATTCATATGTCAAAAAACTATTAGCATACAGATGGGGGCTCTATGATACAATGCACAGAGGAACATTACAGACAGAGCTTTCACACTGTGCCAGTAATTGTGGAGTGGTTTTAATCCAGTATGAATCTGCAGTGTGTGTAGTTTTACAGTCTGACGGTAATAATTGTGGAGTGATTTTAATCCAGTATGAATCTGCAGTGTGTAGTTTTACAGTCTGACGGTAATAATTGTGGAGTGATTTTAATCCAGTATGAATCTGCAGCGTGTGTAGTTTAACAGTCTGACGGCAATAACTGTCGAGCGATTTTAATCCCTTCAGGCCCTCTGTGGGGAATTTAAGGAAATTACAGAGGCACTTCATCCTGAACTAATCGTCCAGTCAGTTCTGAAAAATCAGATTAACCAATTTCCAGAGGGTAAATTAATCTAATAGAACTTCAGAACTTATAACAGCATAAACAGTGGCCAATACAGCTTAAGGGTGGGTAACACTTAAACGACATTTTCATAATACGTATGTTTTCTGATGTTTGTTAAATGTTTGGTTTTTCAGACGTTTTAAAGACAGGTTGGAAACAGACAGAACACACCATCAAAAACAGAAAAAAAACTATTTAAAATACTGTTAGTATTATATAGTACAGCCACCATTCATATTTAAACCTGTGTACACTCACCCAGACAAATTCTTATGCACATGTCCACATCACACTGTAACATGCTGTATATAATAGTGTATATATCCTCTCAGACACATGTACATACCTCTAATCACATCACACTGTAATATATAATAGTATATATGACATACAATTCTGTGCAAAGTGTGAAAATTAGATTTAAAAGCTAATTATCTGGACACACTAACAAAAGCCCAGCATTATTTGTAGGCATCATCAAATACTTTGTTTGTCTAAGCAGAACATCATTAAATTGAATAAGTTGTGCTGCTGGTGGATTTGAACCAATCTATGCGACGGCTGGAGGCGTCCAGGAGAAATCTGGACTCCAACCTGTGTTCCTCTGACCAACTCACGAAATGCTGACTACTTTTTTTTTCAGAAGCGCATTCAAGAATTTTCAGGAATATGCACATATAAAAATATCAGCGTCATATTATGATTAATGCCCCTTTATTAGAGAAATAGAAATGCGTTTTTTATTACACCTCACCTTCTTTTCATTTCCTTTTCGTTGCATTTTACTGCATTAACATTTGGTTTCATCTACTCTAACGTTTTATGGTGCTTTTACAAGGAAAAGCAGACTTGCTGCCCAAATAAATGAGCCGTATGAAGCGTTTCGTTCCAAAATGCTGCGTGTTCATCTGTGGCACTTCTGGATAAAATGAGTTTTTGAAAAAAAAAGACAGCTGATGAACTAAAGGGAACACATTTTATGTCCCAAATGAAGGTGATATTAATCGTAATATAGCCCACTCATGATTATATCTCCTAAAAACAAGACAAATTCATGAAAGTGGTCCATGCTCGAGCTCTGGACTGAAGCCCTTCATGTGTACACGGACACTTTCCTGTCTAATCCCTAATACTGTATTAAACACTATTGGTATTCCACTGTTGTTACCAGGCGAGTTTATCATGCCGGCTCACACTGTTTGAAGTGTAGCTAAGACAGACTGCTGGTGTGAGTAGTGTAACTGTGAGAAAACTGATCCTGACTGGGAGTCCGGAGGGTCTTACCTTCTTCTCTGAGGCTCCTCTGATGCTCGGTGTGTGTCTGTAGTCCTCTGAGAGAGATGTGATCAGACTGCAGGAGGAGGAGAAGCAGAGCTGTGCCGGCGCTCCGGAGTGTGAGCGTGTGAAAGTGAGCGTGGTGTGTTCAGGGACACTGTGAGTCACGTGGCTCCGCCTCTGGAACAGATACCAGACAATAGCCCTGTCACTGCAT